TTACACTAATTTAATCTATTTCCTCATGTTAAAATATCCTCACACCTTCTATGGGTCATCTCGATGATCACTTCAAAGTTGTTGTTTTTTTCTCTCTCTCCTGCTGATGTTCACTCATCTCAATTGATTGGCCTCTTACAGTTGGTAGGGCTACTCCCACCTTTTCATGTTCTCTGTATGTATAAATATCTTCTTTCTGTGTGTTCCATTCTATGCATCCGACGAAGTAGGCTGTAGCCCACGGAAGCTTATGCTCAAATAAATTCGTTAGTTTCTGAGGCTAGGTCTACACTACAGTGGGGTTCCGACCTAAGATACGCAACTTCAGCTACGTGAATACCGTAGCTGAAGTTGCGTATTTTAGGTCGGCTTACCTGGCAGTGAGGACGGGGGAAAGCCGACCGCTGCCGCCGACTCCGCTGCCGCCTCTTGCCGAGGTGGATTTCCGGAGTCGACGGCAGAGCAATCAGGGATCGATTTTACCGCGTCCTCACGAGACGCGGTAAGTCGATCCCCGATAGATCGATTGCTACCCGCCGGATCGGCGGGTAGTGAAGACATACCCTAAGGCGGGGTAGGCAACCTATGGCACATGTGCCGAAGGCAGCACGCGAGCTGATTTTCAGTGGCACTCACGCTGCTTGGCTCCTGGCCACTCGTCCAGGGGGCTCTGCATTTTAATTTAATTTTAAATGAAGCTTCTTATACATTTTAAAAACTTTATTTACTTTACTTATAACAATGGTTTAGTTATAGATTATAGACTTCTAGAAAGAGACCTTCTAAAAAGTTAACTGTATTACTGGCACGCGACACCTTAAATTCGAGTGAATAAATGAAGACTCGGCACATCACTTCTGAAAGGTTGCCGACCCCTGCTCTAAGGTGCCACAAGTACTCCTGCTCTTTTAACTCTACAAAGAGCAGCCTAACCAGGTTTGAGGTTAGTGGTCTGATTGCAGTTGCTGATCACAAAATGAGGGCTGCATTACTGGTCTCTAATTTATTACACTGCAAGTCTCTTTAATATGTGGAGTCCATAAATCCAAAGTCTAATCTCCAGCAACTAGAGGGCTGTATATGAGTCTATACCTCTGTGAAATGGTCGTTCTGCAAGATCTCAGACCACGTGTTCTATCCTAGCTTGACCAGCAGCCCTGTTTTCTACAGCGACTTCAGGAGGCAATAAAGCGGTGCCCTTCTCTCTCATCCTTCTAACCAGTGGCAATATTAATTTAGGGTGAAAAGCAACAGAGGGTCCTGTGGCACCTTTAAGACTAACAGAAGTATTGGGAGCATAAGCTTTCATGGGTAAGAACCTCACTTCTTCAGATGCATTTAGGGTGGTAATTACCCCATTTAGAGAGATGTCAGCAAGAAAACACCCTGCTGCATGGAGGGTGACTGGGTGACAGTTCTCAGTTCCTGTTGCCTCATCTCCAGCCATGATGTGGTTACAATGGGGAACCCCACTCATGTAGGAAAATTTTAGTGAAGGCCATTGCAGATCCTGTCCATCCTGGGACCAGAAGTGTCCTACCCTAGCTAGGATTGTGTTCAAGCATGGTGGCTACTAGCCGGCTGCTACTGCAGCTCACTCCACTGGACTGGCTTGTCTGAGAACCTCCTTTTGAAACAGTTTTATAAAACTACAGATGTGAGCGTGATTGCTTTTTAAAAAGCATTCACTGTTGGCCTAGCTCTGTGCCCACTGGAGCAGAGTGAGGCCAGTGATGAGGGATATGGAAAAATGCCACTTGTAGACAACACTAGAATTCCTGCTATGCCAGGAACAGTCACCTGGCAGCTTGATCTTAGCATCCTAGAATATCAGGGTTGGAAGGGACCTCAGGAGGTTATCTAGTCCAACCCCCTACTCAAAGCAGGACAAATCCCCAGACAGATTTTTACCCCCATTCCCTAAATGGCTCCTTCAAGGATTGAACTCACAACCCCGGGTTTAGCAGGCCAATGCTCAAACCACTGAGCTATCCCTCCCCACCCCCATCTTCTGGAGTACGTGGGACCCAACTGCTACCAGGATCATGTCCCAGCTCTGCTGGAGTCCATTTGGACACACTATTGAAATGCAGTTTGCTGCTTTCTGCTCAGATAAAGATAAAGGCAGGTTTTATCCATCATAGGGGATTCCTAGATCTGTGACTGGCCTCCCATCTGGGTAGCCACTGGTCCCATCTACATCAATTTCTGTTTAGGGGGGGAGAGAATCTACAGCTTGATTCTGGGACAGGACGTGCATTGGTCATGGAAACGCAGCCAGCAGAAACTGTACTAGGATACAGATGTTCTCCTGACGCCAGTGTGTATTGGACTAGTCCTACAGCTAGACATGCCTATATGTATGCAATGTTGGAGGGTTTTCTTTTAGGGACACAGGAATTGCCATAGCAGGGTGGGCCAGTATTGGGTCCACTTACTGCAGCCAGACACTAGCTTATGGATCAGTACCAGGTGCTCTGGAGAAAGATACAAGAAACCTGATCACGGACAATAACCCTGACATTCCTGTGAGGGACTAACAACCTGTAACGTTTTCCATCTAAGGCTCTCAAAGCACTTCACAGGCCCCAATGTTCAGATTTGTCTATCGAGGTGCCTCAGTCTGGATCTGTTTCGATGCCTGTTTAGGGACACTTTAGACTGAACTGTTCTTTACAGCACCCATGAGAAGTCGTTCCAGTTTGGTATGTTGGTTTTCCCCATCCTCAGGGAGGCTAGGGGTGCGTCTACACTGCAGCTGCAAGCCTGCTGCCCAGCACAGGTGCTAGCTTCATTGGCGCCAGCCTGCTAAAACTAGCAGCGAGGGGTAGCAGGTCAGGCAGGTTTGAACATTGGTGGCTAGCGTCCAATGGGGCCAGGCTATTTTTAATGCGCTAGGTCGAGTAGCATTGTGCTGCCCTTGAGCACTGCACCAGCTGTTGTGTAGACTCCTCCTAAGCGGCTATTCCGGCAGAACTGAGAATAGAGCCCAGACTGAGATTTCTAGTCCTAAACTTTAACCACAAGATCATCCTTCCTCTGCTGGACAAGAATCTTCTACCACCTCCTCTTGTAGCAGGCTGCTTTGCGAGCCCCTGCAGTCAAACCTTTAATGATGTGATCACTCCATCATGGACTAGGGCTTCTTTCTCCAGATCCCTGTGGGGAGCAGCTCTACCATGGTCACAGTTAATCCAGTTTTTCTCTCTGAATGTGTTCGGTGCTCCTGTATATTATGAAGGCTCACATTGGTTTATGCTTGTTTTGTGGGAGTTCTCCCTACACCGCTCTGAAGTTTCCAGGCTCGTTCTGTATCTGTGCTTTTTTTAAAACGACTTTGATCTGTGCAAAGTCAAGCTGTGGAATTTTGATCCCTTATATTGGTCGCTGTCCCACAGGGGAAGGGCTGCGTGTTTAAAGCTGTCTAACCACCACATCTTGGACAATGGCAGCCAGGTTTCTCTGCTGGTCACAGCCTAGCAATCGGTGCACCCAGTCAGATCTGAGCTCCATGCTCGGCTGATGTATGTTGCATCAACCCCATCAGTCACTAGGACAACAGTCTTTCAGTGGAACAAAACAATTCTTTAGAATCTAGCTGGGGGTGGTTAGTGATGTCATTGTATGGGGAAATGTTAGCCACAACTGGCGAAACAAATCGCCTTCATCTCCAGCTTTCCGTCCGCATGGGTTACCGGACTTGACTTGGCCTGGATCCTGATGCCGCCCTACAAGCACGTCTGCCTCCTCCGCCCTGGTTTTGCACTGAGGCTGTGCACCTCAGTCTGGCATCCAATGGTCTCACCAAAACAAACTTGGAAGAACTCTCCTCCTGTTTTAAGGAACTAAAAATAAAAATGTTGTTACTGTTGAATGAAAGCCTGACCAGACAGACCCAGAGTGGGGGTTGGGTTAGCGATGAAATCGCCTGCTAATCCTCTTCAACGCCCCAAAACTTTTGTTTTTAAAAAACACATGATGGTTGCTTAGTGACAACTTTCCTATTTGCAGGTGTTTTGCAAAACTCCCGCTCTCAAGAGCGGGGAAATGGGTTGCTCAGGGCAGGTCTTGCATGGCCCAGATAATAAACACAAATGTACCAGATGCTGACTACTGGCTATTTCAGCACAGTACCCTAAACACTAAGGAACAGTATTCAGTGTGGGCCAGAGTGGAGGGGGCGTCTCTCAAACCCCCAGAGGGGGTAAATGCAGACAGGATAGGTTACATTTAGCTAGCAGGCTAATAACCTATTTAAGCAGCAATGCCTTAACTCCTCTCTCTGCCAGATACTTAAATGTGTTTAATCCAAGTTTAGCATGGAAGCCAAATCAAGAAGGCAGTGTGGTCTAGTGGTTAGAGCAGGGAATGTGTAGCCAGGTTTCCTGTCGCTGCTAGTCTCCGCTCTGCTGTTGATTCTGACTCCATTTGCCCATTTGAAAAACGTGTGTTACGAATGGCAAAAGCCCTCTGCCTGCCTCTCCTGCCATGGGATAGAACAGGGGTAGGCAACCTATGGCACACGTGCCAAAGGCGGCGCACAAGCTGATTTTCAGTGGCACTCAGTGCCCGGGTCCTGGCCACCGGTCCAGGGGATCTGCATTTTAATTTAATTTTACATGAAGCATCTTAAACATTTTAAAAGCCTTATTTACTTTACCTATAACACTAGTTTAGTTATATATTATAGACTTCTAGAAAGAGACCTTCTAAAAACATTAAAATGTATTACTGGCACGCGACACCTTAAATCAGAGTGAATAAACCAAGACTCGGCACACCACTTCTGAAAGGTTGCCGACCCCTGGGAAAGAAGCATCTCCTCTTGGAATACATGGGAGTCACTTGTATCCCGTGGTGGGAGAACCAGATGCCAGGGGTGGCGCGTTGCTTAATGTGTGTGGTGATCCTTGGCGGACGCAGTGTAGAAAGTAGTAGGGTGTGACCCAGATTTTAGAGCTCTATTTACCACTCCTGTTCCTGTCCCATCTAGACTGGAACAGAGTCCGTTTGTCTTGCCCTTCGCTACATTGGAACGCAACTTGCCTCCTTTCCGCTCCTCGTGCATCACTTGGCTTCTCCAGAGCTGCTCAGAAGCTTGCAGAATGGTTGGATTCAAGCCCACCGATGTCCCCCCAACAGCCACGGTGAAGTTTCTAGGGGCTGGGACGGCCGCGTGCATCGCAGATCTGATCACCTTCCCCCTGGACACGGCCAAAGTCAGACTGCAGGTGAGAACTTCTGCAGGCTCATGCACAGGGGTCTCGAGGCCCATGCTGAGCTCCGTCTCCTTGTGGTGGACGCGCCTTGAGCTGCTGTCGCTGCATGTTGCTAAGCAATGGCAGACGTGCCTTTAGTATTTAATCTTTAACGACGTGTGTTCTCAGCCAGCCCCTGGCCAGTCCAGCGAGCGTGCTAGAGTGTGGGCCTAACCAATGATGCTGCCACCACTTTCCTTGGGCAGTAGTGCCACAGTCGAATACACTTTAGTGTAGATCCCAGGCTGCTCCTGATTCTGTCTGAATTTTCCTTCTTCCCATTGGTCCTAGTTACACCCCTTTGTACTGCCCCCTCCTTGGTGTGTACCCCTCTAACAATGTGTAGTCCACTCCCCACCCCCTGGCCATTGCAAAACTAAGCTGGGCACGTTTAACCCTCCAACTCTTCCCTCCGGCCATGGGGCTGATCCTGCAAGGGGCTGAGCGCTTCTTGTCAAGCACTGAGCACGCCCATGAGCCCCACCGCCGGGGAGTGGGGGTGGGGGTACCGCGCCTCTCCAAACGAGGCCCTTGGATTGGAGGAGGGGGAAATGGAAGCTGCTGTGATTTGTCTAAAGCCTGAGCCAGCTTTCCTGGACGTCGAGGGATGGGCTGCATGGACCTCTATGGCTGTGAATTGGGTTGGGCTCTTTGTGCAAACCCGGCTTGGGTCAGTGGGGCTCTGAGACTGGCTTTTGCACTCGGCTCAGATTTGCAGTGATGGGGCTTCGTTCATAGTTTAAGGCCAGCAGTGGGGGTGTCACTTGCTATGGGGCCGGGTGGGCAGTTGCTCCCCCAGACTCTTCAGAGCTCATTTAAATTTAACCCTCTGCCCCTTTGTACAGGGCACTGGACGTCGGCCCAGACCCAGGGTGCCGGGACACGGCCCGTTCTGGCTGTAAGCTTGTGCTACTGTCTGATGCGCTGTAGGCAGCCGGTGCCCCCCTGACTCACCGGTCTTTGTTTGTTTGCAATTTGTGTTTTAACAATAAAGGACCCGAAGGTGCAGAAAAGCCCCCGGTCTCCAGGAGGGGAATCCGGATCGCACTTCAACGCAGGCCGCTCGTGGGCTGGGGTAGTGAGTTGGGCCAGGGCCCCAAATCACTGTAAACCTCTTCATCCCATTCTCTCCTGTACAGATCCAAGGAGAGACCAAGTCAGCAGCTAACACAAAAGCTGCTCAGTACAAAGGTGTCTTTGGCACCATTGCCACCATGGTGAAGACGGAAGGTCCCACGAGCCTGTACAACGGCCTGGTGGCTGGGCTCCAGCGTCAGATGAGCTTCGCGTCAGTCCGTATCGGGCTGTATGACTCCGTGAAGCAGTTCTACACCAGGGGATCAGAGCGTGAGTTCCCGTTAGCCTCCTTTAACTTGGTGTGGGCCTTTGTCTCCCTCTAGTGGCTGGAGTGGGTAAAGGTTTGCAGCTGCTATGGCTTCCAAGCTAATGGGCCAGGTCCTCTAGTTCGCGCAATAAAGGCTCCTGCTCTCCATCCAGAGGTCGTGGGTTAAGTCCCGGTGATGTGCCCTGGAGGGTCTCCATTGCATCCATTGCAGTGGGGTTAGCTGTGCTGAAATTAGTTTCTGTTGGGGTCAGGTGGCAGTTGGGCTCTGCTGAGAGATCCCAAGAGAGGCCTGTGTATTTACAGGCACTGTTCTAGACAGCCAATAATGGAGCCGTGTAGAGGCTCGGCTGTGCACACGGCCGCTCGTGGTGGCGGCAGCGGTCGCTACGTGAGGGTTGGGTGTAGCTCCAACATCCTGAGGGGAAGGATGGCTTTGTGGGTAAGGCCCAGGGAAGTAGGAGGTTTGGGAGCTGTCCTCTGTGGCATTGGGGTGAGTCACTTAACCCCGCCTCTGCTTCTGTTTCTCGGTTAATGGGGATAACAGTACTCAAGGGACTCCACTCCTGGGGGTAGAGCAGGCTAGGAAAGGGTGGAGAGGAAGCATGGCCCAGTGGTTAGAGGGCTAGTCTGGGCCATGGGAGACCAGCGTTCAGTTCCTCCTTCTGCCCCAGGCTCTGTGTGACATCTGCCCACTGGGTACCAGCCCTCCCCCCACCTCACAGGGGTGCTGGGAGGTGAGTCACTAGCTTGCAAGGGGCTCAGATACAGAGCACTGACTGGGGGCCATGTGCAGACCCAGGACAGAAGCTAAAACCCTGTAGAGTCAGCAGCTCCCCTGGGTTAACTTGACCTTCCTTTCTGGCCTCTCACTCTCTTCCCTGCTCTCTTCGCTAGGTGCCGGCATCGGTAGCCGACTCCTGGCTGGCTGTACCACCGGAGCGATGGCTGTGGCCGTTGCCCAGCCAACGGACGTAGTGAAAGTGCGGTTCCAGGCCCAGGCCCGAGTGGAGGGTGGCAGGCGATACCAGGGGACTATGGATGCCTATAAGACCATTGCCAAGGAGGAGGGACTCAAAGGGCTGTGGAAAGGTTCGTGTGGTTCCCAAATCCTCCGTGGGAGGGGCTGGTTCTAAACCAACACCCAGTTCAGCTGCACTACCCAAAAACCCTGCGGCAGCAAGTCTCAGAGCCTGGGTCAACTGACTGGGGCGTGCGCTACGGGGCTACAAATAGCAGTGTAGACGTCCCGCTGGGTTTCAGAGCTCGAGCAGGAGCATTTAGGGTGACCAGATGTCCTGATTTTATAGGGACAGTCCCGATTTTTGGGCCTTTTTCTTATATAGGCTCCTATTACCCCCCCACCCGCATCCTGATTTTTCACACTTGCTGTCTGGTCACCCCAGGAGCATTTACACGGCTGTTTTTAGCCCTGTTGCCTGAGTCAGGTGGCCTGGGCTCTGAGTCTTGCTGCCGTGAGCTTACGCAATGTAGACGTACCCAGAGCGTCAGTTTTGCTGACAACTTTTTTTCCTTGTTCTACAGGAACATCCCCCAACGTGGCCCGTAATGCAATTGTGAATTGCACGGAATTGGTGACCTATGACCTGATCAAGGACATGCTGCTCAAATACAACCTCATGACCGGTGGGTGTCAGGCCTGCTTCAGCAGGGTCCCTTAAAACTCCGGCTCGCCAGTGCAGGATGCTGACCTTGTGTCTGATTGCGGAGTGCTTTCAGTTCAGACTTCACCGGGCAGTGAGGGGGCTAAAGGCCATCCAGGACTAGATATGTATGGACCCAATTCTGACTGAGAACGTGGGATCCTACTCCTAAAAAGGGAGATTGCGACAGTCCTAAGTGAGAACTGGGAAGTCATGCCAGAGTAACGTCTGCTAGCGCGTTCCTGCCTGCGCTGAGCAATCGCTGGAAATCAGCCGGCTTTACTCAGGCACTGTAAATATTGCACAGCTGGAATGACCCACCCATCTCCTATTGCATTGGCCAGAAGAGGTGCCTGGCTTATTCTCCCCTGCACAGCTGGAAAAGAGGGGCTGCTGCTGGTTCAGAGGGTGGAGTGAGAAGAAATATTCCCAGGCCACAAGGGGCTAGTGGAGCCAGTCCTTGGCTGTCGTGCAGGGGGCAATGGCAGGTGGATCTAGGTAGCAGCAGATCCATTGGCTCTAGTCTGGCCTGCTGGGAGATCCCATAGAGCTTTGCACCTGACATGCAGGGCTGCCTGCCTCCTGGACAGGCTCCCAGAAAGTCCTGTGGAACTGCACCAGGAGGGAGGGGGTCAGGGAGGGAGGGTGTTCTGCGTGTTGTCCCCTAGTGAGCGCTCTGGCAATAGTGGTGCTAGATTAGCCCCCGAGCAGCTGTGGGCCAGGCTACTGACATGCATGCTCAGGTGCCCGTCCCCTCTCCTGTCTGGCAGATAACCTCCCGTGTCACTTCACCTCTGCCTTCGGGGCCGGTTTCTGCACCACGCTCATTGCTTCCCCCGTCGATGTAGTGAAGACCAGATACATGAACTCTGCCCCCGGCCACTATGGAAGTGCCGTCAGCTGTGCCTTCACCATGCTGAGGAAAGAGGGGCCCATGGCTTTCTACAAGGGGTGAGTAGAGAATTCGAGCAATAGGAGCTCTATGCCACCCACCTCACGTAGGGCTGTGTTGGGCATACCAGCGTCCCTGCACCTGCCACTGAAAGGCAACCACCTCTGAGGTGGAGCCCCAGCAGCTGATCTGTGCATGGCAAAGCTCTGCACTGAGACCGCAAGCGAAAACACCCCAGGCTAGGGAAGCGGCAAGTGTTGGAGGATTTTAAAACCTTGGGCTACAGAATCCTTCTGCTTGGAGGATCTGAAGCCCGTGACTTCAAGTGTGGAGCTCCCTGGCCCAGGCTAGCACATCAGGGCCGAACTGATACCCACAGGAGCACTGGGAGGGGGAAGGGAAGAGGATGGAGCCATCCTTGGATGGATCCGTTCCCAGCAGTGACCAGCCCTTCAGAGGTGGATCTGGAGGCCCGTGGCTGAGTTGATGGGGCAGTTGTAGTTCAAAGGAACCGTGTGCAGGAAGGGCCCGTTCCTGATTGCGGATCTGTTCCTGTGGGGTCCAGGGGCAGCTCTGCTGGTTCCATACTAAAGGAGTAAACCAGCAGCAAGCCGTGTGAGCCCTGCAGAGCCAGCCCAGCCGCTGGAGCGCTAGCTGCCCTATTCTCACACTTCAGCAGAGCCCTAAGTTGGGCCATGAACACCTGGAGGCAAAGGGCTGCCACTGGTGTGACCGAGGGAATAACTGAGCCCTCCTTGCTGGTGAGGTATAAGGAGGGAAGGGTCTGGCTTGACTCTGATTCCAGGCTAGCTGTCAGCATTGCAAACTCTGACCGCCTTGCTTAGAAACTGAACCCGTTTGACCTGCAAATTAAGATCCATGGAGCCCCGTCCCACCTGTTCTAGTCTGTCTGCAGCTGAACTGCGCACATAGGTGAGACTGATCTGGCTAAATCCAAGTGTCCCGTTCCCTGCAGAAGCAGCACTTTAATTCACATCAACGTCACTCTCACTGGCTTATCTCCTCCTGGGGCTGCCCCACGTGGGGGAGTGAACCAAAGGCAGAGATCTGAGCAGTCTCAACCCACGGAACTAGCTGTGATTCTTCTCCCCTCTCGCTGGCTCTAGGTTCATGCCCTCGTTCCTGCGGTTGGGATCCTGGAACGTGGTGATGTTTGTGACCTACGAGCAGCTGAAACGCGCTATGATGGCCGCCCGTGGCTCCTGGGAGGCCCCTTTCTGAGCCTGCCACGTCTGCAACCTGCACCCATGGCAGGAGCCCTCGCTAGCACAGACTGTCCTGTCTGCGCCCAGAGATTGTCTCTGGACTCTTCCAAGCTGCCTCCAGCCACTAACATGTTGGCCTCTAGGCTCTGAGCTTTTTATTTCTGCTCATCTTCTGGAACAAAGCTGGGCCTGCAGGGGAAGAGCTGTAGCTGTACTCCCCTGGGAGTGTTGACCCTTTAAATTGGGGGGTTATGTTTTTAATGGCAAGTTTGCTTCTTCCAAATGTACCATTTCTCTCCCCCCCCCCCCGTGCCAAGATCTGATGGACCTAGGCTGATGAGACCCTCTGAGCTGTAGTGCAAGAGGCAGGAATTGGAGTTAGCACCTGGGACGTGGCAAAGCCCTGTGTCAGCAGCCTGGTACCTGGCAGTAAAATCCCTCAATCGGGGAGTGAGATCCTTCCCTGATGGCAACCTTCAGTTGGATCATTCCAAGGGCTAATCGCTAGAGCCAACGCGTTCAGCCTTGCGGGCCTGGCCTGAACATTCCACTGCCTTACTCTGTATTTCGGTGACTAAGTGCTTGACTTTCCCAGCTGCAGAGCTCTCGACTCCCCTCAGCTCGGCAGAAGGGGCAGATTCTTGGTGCCTTTGGAAGGCCAAGCCACTTCTTTGCATGCCTGAATACGGATTAGGGGACCTGACTTCTAGGCACCAACACTTTAAAATGCTGGCCTAGAGCTTTATGGAGCAGCTGTTCCCAGGTCTAGGCAAGGAGTAAGGATTCTAGTGCAGTGATGCTGGGAAATTGGGGAGGGTGGGTCAGGCAGGTGATGGGTTTTTTTAGTCCTAGTACCTATTTATTTATTTTTTTTAAAATGGAGAGAATGTTGTTGGGCCCCCCAAGTTTCCTGCTGTTAACATTGTTGTGATGGGACAGCAGCTGCGTGTTTGTGTCTTAAAATAAAGCTGGAGTCAAACTCGTCACCTGCTCCTTGTGCGAACTTGCTTTGGAGGGGAAGATTAAGCTGCCGCTTTTTGCTCAGGAGTGTATCGAACTGAATGGGCCTTCGCCTGCAGCCCTCTGGCTTTGGGTGCCTGACTAGAGCACTTCCTGAAATGGGGCCCCTTGAAGGGGGGTGTCCATCTGGGCACCCAAAATTACCAAGTGGGTCCACTGAGCCCTTTTTGCTACCAACCAGCCTGCCTCTCTTGGCACAAAGGGTGGGTTATGATTTGGAAGGAGAGGCTGTTGGTCTTGTCTTCTTGCTGACCCCTCCCATTCAGCCCCTAAGGATGATCCAGCAGTGACAGGAGCTGAAGTCAGGAACTAGATCAGAGCTGAGGCCCAGCTAGCTCCAACAGGGGCTAACAGCAGCTGGTTCAGAGGAAGGTTTAAAAACCACCCAGTGGCAGATATGCAATTCCACCCAACAGCCTGCTCCCTACCAGTTAGAAACTAGCTTAAACCTGAAGCATAAGATTACATGTTGCTATCATGGATTATAGCATCTCCTATGTCAAGTGATCCTACCATGTTCTTGGTGACTTCCTGTGGCAGTGAGTTCCACAGTCTAACTACAGGTCAGGGAAACAGTTCTTCTGATCAGTTTTGACTTTGCCGCCTTTTGACCCTCTCCTGGTGAGAGGCAGGCAGTGCCTCTGCCTATTCTGTTAGTAGCCCTCCCTTTAGTACTGCCCCTTTACCTAGCAGAGCCCAGGGGATGGAAGTAGAGTGAGAGCTGTGTAGGGAGGGGGAGAGCAGCCTTCCATTGCCACTAAGCAGAATTCCTACTGACTCAAAGGCCCATGAATGTACACCCCCCCCCCCCCCACACACACAAGTTTTGGCCTGAGACCTAGCAAAACACCATTGCCTCCATTAAGCAGCATTATTTTCCCCTTCAAGCAGCAGAAATGGCCATTAAGTATCTGTGACGAAGTGGAAACCCTTTCTTCTCTTCTTTCCCCCCCCCCCCATGTCTGCTTTGCCTCCCTACCCCACCACACAAGACCCCTAGCAGCTCCCTGCTAGTGCCCAAGAGTCACAGGTAGGGAGGCTGGACAGAATGGAAACTGAGCAAGGAGAAATCAATCCATTGCTTGGTGCTGGAGAGAGGGAGGCCATTGGTGGGGAGGATTTCCAGGGCTCAGGCCAGCATTAGGCAGAGGGGATCCCAAGCAGGGGAATGAAAGGCATTTCTTTCTCTACATGCAACTGTACTTTGCACAAGGCTGGTCAATTACATTTTTCTAGCATCTTTCATCCCTAAAGGCTTTCCACATTGCATCAGCCACTATGGAAATGCAGCCACCTCTGGGGCAGAACAGGGCAGCTACAACCTGCAGTTTAGGACTGGAAGTGAAGAACATCAGCCTCCACTTGAAATGCAGGGAGGAGTTGAATGGGGCCAGGACAGCAGCGTTCCCTGCTGCTATAAGAAGTACTGCTGAGCTTTAACCAGTACAGAGCTCAGTTTTGTCAGTAACCTGAGCTGCTGCTTTCATTGCCCTTCCCTGCATTCGTTAAAGGGACTGTTCCAAAGACACCGTGCAGTGGGGGAGCCATTTATAACACCACCACCACCACCACACAACCAGTGACCCAATCTGTATGAATAGCTAGAAAGCTTTATTCCCCTGGCTCCCATGGAGCTGAACTCACAGCATCCTTAAGTCAGGAGTGCTTGTCTCAGGAGCTGCTTCTTGGCTGGTGTGAGCCTTTCGGGAAAGCGGATATCAAAATACATGATGAGATCCCCTTTATGGGTGGGGTCACTGGGCAGAGGCATCCCTTCCCCCGGCACGATTTTGAAGTACTTGGGGCTAGAAAAGCAAAGGCCAGCGTTATGCAGGAGGGTACAGGGAGTAACCTCCCTAAGGCTGCAGTAAGAACACACACCTGGCTGGAGTGCAGGGGAGGGATGATCTCATTAAGGAGCAAATTGTGCCTCCGGGTGCACCAGTGCGGCTCCCTGCGAGGGCAGGAGCTGGCCCTAACGAGCCTGCTAGGGGGGATGGATGTATCTTGGAAAAACATGTAACTATTTCTTTAACGTGCTGTTCTCTGAAACATGATGCTAAAAATGGGCTTTGGGGCTCTCTCTTCACTTTGCCTCAATGACTCCTATTGGCTTTCCTCCGATGCTGCCCTGGGATCTGAAAGGCCAGCTGGGTTCATTCTGGCTCAGGCACTGCCATTGGGCAGAGCGGTTCTGCAAAGCCTATGTCTGCCCTGAGTGACACCAGGGCAAGGGGTTTGTGCGGCTGCAGCGAGCTGCCTGCAGTGGAGGTGTCTGGATACCAGTGTGGGCAGAATTCAGCTCTGCAATCAGAACTGAGCTAACAATCCTGTTAATGCGCCGGGTCACCATCCTGGAGCTGTGTGGGCTCCGCAGGGCTGGCAGGAGTGAAAAACAGTAACCCTGGCGGTGTTTGTGCGGTAACTAGATGTCGCTCTGCAGGCACAGGACGAGCAGAGCTGCTTACTACGAAGGGGTCATTTTTACAGTCAGGCCAAGACTTTCAAAAGCGACTAGTGATTTGGGGTGCCCAATCTAAGACCCCTTTAAGGAGCCTGATTCCCAGAGAGCACTGAGCCCCCGCCCTCGGACAGTCTCGAGGTGCTTCCCTTTGAGCTTCCCAAATCACTAGTGAGCAGCTCGCCTTCCCTTGTGAGAGCAGACCCTTTCCAGACACCGGGCGAGCAGGGTAGTTTGCCTTGCTGATTGCATACGGGGCTATTTCTGCTCCAGCACTTACTGGACTATGTCATTGATGGGAATATTCAGCAGCCTGTCATCCAGGGTTCTCACATCCACTGTACAGCCAATCAAAGCCTGCAAAAGACAGAGCGAGGCAATGAGCAAAGATGTTCGTCGGTCCTGTGATTCTGTTATTCCAAATAACAGGCACAGGCGGAAATAATTTGTGATCCATGGAAGCCTGGGTAAGGCTACCCCGAATGGGCCTTTACACCCTGAGTATTCCTCCAGGCACAAGAGGATCAGCCCAGTGGAGAGGGATCTTCTGAGTTCGGACCGTGCAGAGCCAGCAGACTGGCTCCTCTGCCACGAGAAAAGGGGCGTGTGGCTGAGGCTCTGCTGTAACCCCGGGTGGCCTCCAGCTATTTGTGCAGCCCCCAAGCTGATCTACATTACGCTGGGGGGATCAGATCGAGCCAGAACTGACAGGCTTAACACTGCCTTTGCACACCCCCTCCCTCGAGCCACATCCACCAGAGCGTCTGGTGTGAAGAGTGACAAAGTACCCCTGAGTCCATTCATGAGAGCAAGGGGGAGAGAAGCTGAAGATATTTCGAAATC